GATGGTGATGAGGTGACCAGGAGGTGGCTGATCTTTGGGGTCCATCTCCATGGCTGACATGTGATGGCAGTGCAGTGACAGGGAGGTGGCTTGTGACGGTGATGAGGTGTCAAAGAGGTGGCTCATCCCTGGGATCCACCTCCATGGGTGACACGTTTTGGTGACAAGGAGGTGGCTGGTCTCTTGGGTCCATCTCCAGGGGTGACACATGATGGCCGTGAGGTGACAAGAGGGTGGCTCATCCCTGGGGTTCGTCTGCAGGAGAAATATATTGTGGTGACACTGCAGTGACAAGGAAGTTGCTCATCTTTGGGGTCCATCCCCCTGAGTGACGTGGTGACAAAGAAATGGCTTCTGATGGGGATGAGATGACAAGGAGCTGGTTCATCTTGGGTCCGTCTCCATGGGTGACATGTTGTGATGGCCATGAGGTGACAGGGAGGTGTTTCATCTCTGGGGTCCATTTCTACAGGTGACATGTTGTGGTGACAAGGAGGTGGTAGGTCTCTGGGACCTCAGGTGACAAGAAAGTGTCTTGTAATGGTGATGAGGTGACAAGAAGGTGGCTGATCCTTGGAGTCCACCTCCATGGGTGACACGTTTTGGTGATGAAGTGGCCTGTTTTTTGGCTCCGTCTCCACGGGTGACACATTGATGGTGATGAGGTGACAAGGAGGTGTCTGATCTTTGGGGTTCACCTCCACGGGTGACACATTTTGGTGATGAAGGGGCCCATCTCTTGGCTCCATCTTCACAGGTGACATGTTTTGGTGACGAGGAGATAGCTTGTGCTGGCCCTGAGGTGACAAGGCTGGTATCTTGTCACCTCCATGGGTGACGCAGGTACCTCCTCCCTGCCCCCAACCCTTTGAAACCCCCCCAACCCCCAGGACAAGCAGCATCTCCCACCCCCATCCCCGAACCCCTCCATGGGGCAGACTCACAAACTGCTGCCAACATGGGAGCAGAGGAGGGAAAAGGCAACGTCCTCCCCAAAAGGTTCCTCTGTGGGTGGGTCAAACCTCTCCCATGAAGTCTGAGCAGGTCCAGGCACAGAACGGGTCTGGGGGCAGAACAGGGTGCAGGAAACAAAGGCAAACTGGAGCCAGAAAACAGCCAGCTGACCAGGCCGAGAACAAAACGGCCTCGGAGCCTTTCCAACACACACACCTTGAGTTAAGGCAAAAGTGAAGAGTGCCCAGTTTCCAAGGAGAGAAGAAAAAAACCTCCCCACTCTTCCCCACAGTTTTTAGGAGGGCCATCAGCTTGGAATGCCCAAGGCAAACCACCCTCCTCATTCAACATCTTTCTTCCACAGAGGCAGAGGAAAGAAAAATTCCTGCTTGGTTTTCTTGAACAAGCAAACCTCCGACACGCCGCTGTCCCCTGTGCAGGTGATCGGGAAGGGCAGCGAGCGGGCGGAGGACAATTCCGTGGAGGAGAAGTACCTGATCGCCACGTCGGAGCAGCCCATCGCCGCCCTGCACCGCGACGAGTGGCTGCGCCCCGAGGAGCTGCCGCTGCGCTACGCCGGCATCAGCACCTGCTTCCGCCAGGAGGTGGGATCCCACGGCCGGGACACGCGCGGCATCTTCCGCGTCCACCAGTTCGAGAAGGTGACGGGCTCGGGGGTGCTGGGGCCAGCAGGGGATTCCTGGGGGAATCCGGGGGGCGTTTGGGGTCACCAGGGGATTCCCGGGGGGATCCAGGGGTGTTTGGGGTCATGGGGGGTTCCAACGGGATTTTGGGGTGTTCCTGGTGGGAATTCGGGGTGTGCCCAGTGTCACCACAGCATTCCCAGTGGGAATTTGGGGTGTCCCCAATGTCACCAGGGAATTCCTGGTGGGAATTTGGGGTGTCCCCAATGTCACAACAGCATTCCCAATGGGAATTCCGGGTGTCTCCAGTGTCACCATGGCATTCCCATTGGGAATTTTGGGTGTCCTCAGTGTCACCACGGCATTCCCTTTGGGAATTCTGAGTGTCCCCAGCATTCCCTTCTCCTGCAGATTGAGCAGTTTGTTTACTCCTCCCCCCACGACAACAAGTCCTGGGAGATGTTTGAGGAGATGATCTCCACGGCCGAGGAATTCTACCAATCCCTTGGGATTCCCTATCACATCGTCAACATCGTCTCGGGTACAGCTCTGCCGGCACATTCCCAGTGTCCCCTGGCCCTGACCCCTTCCCAGCTCAGCATTCCCTGTCCCCAGCCCTCGGGAGGAGGAGCAGGAGGGAGGGAAGGGTGTGTTTTATTTGCTGTGGAATTCTCTGGGTCCATGGGAAGGGGGGTGGGATGGATTGTCCCTGCTGGCCCTTCCAGAGGGACAATTGGAGTGTCCTGGCTCCTCCTGGAAGTGCTGACAGGGGAATGATCCTGATAAAGGCTCCCAGGGATGAGTGGGACTCCTTCATCCCTGGGGCAGGGCAGGAATCCCTCATCCCTTGGGAATCCCTCATCCCCATGGGATCCCTCACCCCACGGAATCCCTCATCCCCATGGCAGAGCAGGAATCCCTCACCCCATGGAATCCCTCATCCCCATGGAATCCCTCATCCCCAGGGAATCCCTCATCCCCAGGGAATCCCTCATCCCTGTGGCAGAGCAGGAATCCCTCACCCCATGGAATCCCTCATCCCCAGGGACGGGCACACTCAGGGCAGACAGTGGGGGCCCCCCCAGCCCCCCTACTCACCCCTGTGTCCCTGCTGTCCCCAGGCTCCCTGAACCACGCAGCCAGCAAAAAGCTGGATCTGGAGGCCTGGTTTCCCGGCTCCGGAGCCTTCCGGGAGCTCGTGTCCTGCTCCAACTGCACCGACTACCAGGCGCGGCGGCTGCGCATCCGCTACGGCCAGACCAAGAAAATGATGGACAAGGTGAGCCTGGGGGTTCTGGGGGGGCCTGTCCGTGTCCCCCATCTCTCTCCGTGTCACTCGTGTCCCCCTGGAGCACTCCGGAGCCACGAGCTCACGGGCTCAGCCAGGGCTTTAAAACAGAAATATATTTAGGGCTCGTTAATACCTCGAGATATTGGCAAGAGAATGAGCCCAGACTTGTTCCCAAGAGATGTTTTTAGTGACAATTTAGGGGAGGAAATGAGGGAACTTGTAGAGGTTCCAAAGGGCACCACACAAGGGGGACTAAAATGTTCCACCACAACAACAACACTGCCCCAGCACAGACTGATCCACAGCACTGGAGTGGAGATCCAATTGATCCACAACACTTCAGTCAGGATCCAACCTCTCCACAACACTTAGATCAAAATCCAGTAAATCCACAACACTCCAGTCAAAATCCAACCCCTCCACAACACTTAGATCAAGATCCAATAAATCCACAACACCTAAATCAAGATCCAGACCCTCCACAACACTGAAATCAAGTTCCACTTAATCCAGAACACTCCAGTCAAAATCCAGCCCCTCCACAGCACTTAAATCAAAATTCCAGCCCAGAATTCCCCCAAATTTCCTCATTTTTCTCCCACATTTCCTCTGTCTTCTGATTTCACCCAATTTCCCAAATTTTCTTAAGTTTTCCCCAAACGTCCCCAAATTTTTTTCAAATTTCCCCCGAAGTTTCTCCAGGTTTTCCCCAAATTTCTTCAAATTTCCCCAAATTTCCCCCCAGATTTCATCAGGGGTTCCAAGAACTGAGAGGTGTTATAAAATGTATGTACAATAGTTAAGAATATTTAAAATATAACATATAAAATGCAGGGATATATAAAATATATACATGTGTAGTATATAAGTATATTAAATATATTAAATTTATAATATAAAAATATATGAAATATATCAAATATAATGTATACATTAGAATAATATTATAAATTATATACAAATATTTAATAATATAAAAGTGAATATATAAAATGTATAATATGTAATTATATAATATATATAAAGATATCAAATATATAAAATATAGTGTATGAAATAGAATAATATATAAAATATACATGAATATATTAATAATAAGTAAATGAATATATAAAATGTATAATATATAAATATATTTAATATATAAATAGATCGTTTTACGAAATATATAAAATATAATATATAAAATATAATAATATATAGAATATACACTAATATATGAATAATATATAAGGAAATAAATATGTAAAAATTTATCATATGTAAAATATCTAAAATTTAATATATATTCTGTATAATAATATATAGAATATAGACTAATATATGAATAATATATAAGTATATAAAATACATAAATATAATATACTAGTGTATAAAATATCTAAACTAATATATAAAACAGAATAATATATTAATATTTAAGTATATAATTATATATACAATATATAAAATGTATGTAAAATATATTTTATATTTAAAATATATATTATAGATAAAAATATATTACATATATAGTATATATAAAAATATATAAATGTATGTAATATATACAAATATATAAAAATATATATAAATGTATAAAAATATATAAAACCTAACTACAATATGGAAATATATAACAAAATATAATAATTTTTTCCCTGTTTGGAGGAACACCCGAAACACTCTCTTCAGAGTAGATGTTTCCTGGCTTGCTAAAAAATCTGTTCTCTACTGAAACCAAAACTAAGCCACATTTTGGAATGTGGTGCCAAAATGTTCGGTTCAAAGCTCTGTCCTAAAATCACGAAAGTGCCAAAAGTGCCTTAAAATCGGGCTGTTTCTGGGTCTCAGGGCATTGGTTCCCCCCCTCCCCCCCCCCCCCACACAGACCCCCCAAACGGGCCCGGGACCCCAGAGTCACTGGGGGGTGTGGGGTGTGTCCCCCCCAGGTGGAGTTCGTGCACATGCTCAATGCCACCATGTGTGCCACCACCCGCACCATCTGCGCCATCCTGGAGAACCACCAGACCCCCGAGGGCATCCTGGTCCCCGAGAGGCTGCGGCAGTTCATGCCCCCAGGTAACATCCCCCCCAGACCCCCGTCCCCGGATTTCATGGCCCCAGGGACCCCCCCTGTGACCCCCATCCTGGGATTTCATGGCCCCAGGTAACCCCCCAAGACCCTCCGTCCTGGGATTTCATGGCCCCAGGTAACACCCCTGTGACCCCCATCCTGGGATTTCATGGCCCCAGGTAACACCCCTGTAACCCCCATCCTGGGATTTTGTGGCCTCTGTGACCCCCCCCCGAGACCCCACCTGTCCCGGGATTTCATGGCCCCTGTGAGCCCCCCATCCCAGGATTCCATTCCCCCTGTGACCCTCCCTGTGACCCCCTCACTGTCCTGGGATTTCATGCCCCCAAGTAACACCTCCTCCCCGTGACCCCCTCATGACCCGTTGTCCCAGGAATTCACGCCCCCAGGTAACCCCCTCCAGTGACCCCCCCATGTCCTCCCCATGCCGGGGGATGACGGGGGTCCCATGTGCCCCCCAGACCTGCGGGAGCTGATCCCCTTCGTGAAGCCGGCGCCCATCGAGCAGGAGCTCTCCAAGAAGCAGAAGAAGCAGCAGGAAGGGGGGGGCAAGAAGAAGGCAGGGGGGGCCCGGGAGCAGGGGCTGGAGGAGCAGATGAAGAACATGGCGGTCTGAGGGCCCCCCCCCGCACTCCCCCGAGGGACTTTTGGGGTCTCCTGAGTCATCCCACCTTCCTCGCTGGGCCATGCCCTCAGCTTCGCTTGGGGGGAGTCACCGTCGGCCCCCCCGCGGCACAAAGAACTGACACGAGTGTGGCCCCCCCTCGTGTGTCCCTCCCACCCGCTGAGCGGGGCTGGGGACCCCCCCGTGTCCCCCCACGCTGAGTGGGGCCGGGGACACCCCCCCGTGTCCTCCATCCAATAAAGGCAAGAGCTGCTGAGCTGCGTGTGCTGGGGGGGTGCCGAGGGGCACGGGGGGGGGGTCCAGCTCCCGCCCCAGCGTGCAGGGGGGGTGTCTCTCCATTTCCCGTGGCCCCCCCTTTCCCCTCCTCTCTCCCAGCCCCACACAAAGCTGCAGACAAAGCCCCTTTGTGATGCAAAGTGGGGCCGGGGGGCCCCCAGGCTCAGCCCCAGCTGCCGCCCGCCCCCCCACCGGCCTGGGGGGGGGACACATAGGAGGGGTTTATCCCTCTCCATCACTGCAGGGGGGGTTGGCTGCCCCCCCCATCCATCCCGTGTGTGCGTGGGAACCTCCGGCGGGGCGGGCGGGGCGGGCGGGGAGTGGCCCCCGTGAGTCAGCGGAGCCCCTGGCGGGGGCGGGGGGGACCCGGCGGTTCCGAGCACCGCCCCGGCACGGGGGGGTCCCCCCCGGGACCCGTCCGACCCGTTCTGCCGGGGGGAGGACCCGCGCCGCCTGCCCGCACCCACGCCCCGGGACCGGCGCCGGCTGGGGGGGGCACCCACGAACCGCGGGGATCCGCCCCCGCCCGCCCTCTGCAGTCCCCACCAGTCTGTCCCGGTGCCCCCCAGCATCCCAGTAAAGCCCAGTCTGTGCCAGTGCCCCCAGTTTCTCCAGTCCCCTCCAGTCTGTGGCAGTGCCCCCCCAACATCCCTAGTACAGCCCAGTCCCTCCCAGAGCCCCCCAGCATTCCCAGTCCCTCCCAGTCTGTTCCAGTGCCCCTCGGTCCTTGTGCGGTGGGACCAGCCCAGGGGTCGGGGTGGGGGGTCCCACGGCGTGGGGGGACATGGACCCCCGTGAGTGGGGTCACGGCCGGGGCGTGTGTGTGTGTGTGACGTGTATGTGTGTGTGACATGTGCTGTGTGTGTGACGTGCTGTGTGTCACACATGAACTGTGTGCTGTGTCACATGTATTGTGTGTGCCCTAGGTGTGTCACATGTGCTGTGTGTGTCACACATGATGTGTGCTGTCACATGTATTGTGTGTGTTCTGAGTGTGTCACACGTGCTGTGTGTGCTCTGTGTGTCACACATGTGCCCTGTGTTCTGCCCATGTCACATGCGCTCACACACGTGTGCCCTGCACGTGCAACCCGTGTGTTCCTCACGTGTGCCATACGTGTGCCCGTGATGTTCGTGCGTGTGCCAGGCACTTCATGTGTGTGCACAACGCACATGTGTGTGTGTGTGTGTGCACCTTACGTGTGTGTGTGCACAATGCACGTGTGTGTGTGCACAGTGCACGTGTGTGTGTGTGCACCTTACATGTGTGTGTGCAACTTACGTGTGTGTGCGCAATGCACATGTGTGTGCGCACCTTGCGTGTGTGTGCGCGCGTGTGCACCTTACGTGTGTGTGTACAATGCGTGTGTGTGTGTCCACCTTACATGTGTGTGTGTGTGCACCTTACATGTGTGTGTGTGTGCACCTTACATGTGTGTGTGTGCACCTTACGTGTGTGTGTGTGTGCACCTTACATGTGTGTGTGTGTGCACCTTACATGTGTGTGTGCACCTTACGTGTGTGCGCGCAACCTGCTCTCGGGGGTGCGCCCGGTGCCCCCCGCGCTGCCGCTAGCGGTGCGGGTCCCGTTGCCGGTGCCGGTGCGGTGCCGGTGCGGTGCCGGTGCGGTGCCGGTGCGGGGCGGCGGCGGCTCCTTTAAGGGCGGCGGGGCCGGTGCAGCCGCGACTCCGCCCCGGCGGGCGCGCGCGGGCGCGGGCGGGGCGCAGGCGGCGGCGCGGGGCGCTGCGGGCACCGGCACCGGCACCGGGGGATACGGGGGGGCAGCGGCCATGGGCCTTCCACCCGCCCGCCAGGCCGCGCAGCCGCTGCTCCTGCTGCTGCTGCTGCTGCCGCCGCCCGCACCGGGACCCGCCACCGGCATCGCCATCGCCACCGGCATCGGCTCCGCCGCCGGCATCGCCACCGGCACCGGCATCGCCACCGGGACTGGCATCGGCTCCGCCACCGGGACCGGCATCGGCTTCGCCACCGGGACCGGGACCGGCACCGGCAGCCGGAGCGGCACCGGGATCCGCCTCCGCCTTCCCGACGCGCTCCCGGCGCCACTCCAGTCTCGCCGCGGCGGCACCGGGGACAGCGGCGGCACCGGGGACAGCGGCGGCTCCGCGCGGCCCCCTCCGAGCACCGGGGACAGCGGTGGCGGCGCCGGGCCCGCGCCGAGCGATGGGACCGCACCGACCACCGGCAGGGACGGCAGCGGCGTTTGGGGGTCCCGAGGCACCGGCGGCACCGGCGGCACCGCGGGCGTCAGAGGCACCGCGAGCACCGGCGTCACTGGAGCCACCAGGAATGCTGGAGACACCAGGAGCCCTGGAGGCGCTGGGGACGCTGGAGGCGTCAGGGACGCTCCTGGAGGCACCGGGGATACCGGAGGCGCAGGGGATACTGGAGGAACTGGAGACACTGGGAGCACCCATGTCCCCAGGGACAGCGGGAGCGCCGTGGATACCGGACACATCGGGAACACCAGCGTCCTCCCGGACAGCAGGAGCGCCGGGGCCGTACTGAGCACTGGGGGGGGCTGGGGGCACTGGGGGCACCGCAGTCCTCAGGGACACCAGGGATACTGGATGCACTGGGGAGACTGGGAGAGACACTGGAAGCACTGGGAAAGTCCCCAGGAACAGCAGGGACACTGGACATAATGGGGAGACTGGCAAAGTCCCCAGGGACACTGAGAGCACCAGGGAAGTCCCCAGGGACACCAGGAAC